ATGTCTTTATTTTTTGCGATTGTCGATATCATCGTTCTCGGAATACAGCATGCAACAGTTAAAATCTCGAACATGCATGCCACCTTCATATTTCTCAACAATCTCTTTTTTCAGTTCCATTGTGATTCTAGTCATTTTTTAGTTTTCTGTTGCTTTTCATTTGCCTTTTAGCAATTCATGATTAATAAAAATAATAAAATTTTACTTACAAATTAAAATCAGAAGAAATTTAACAAAGTTATAAACCGTGGCAGCGCGAACGTTTAGTCTGGTCTAATACACCGATAGTGCTACTTGTTCATAGATGGCGCGTATAATTGAATTAAGTTGTATACCAAACAAAAGTCGTATACCAAGCAAAATTTGTTTTGTCCAAACAGGACGTATTCCGAATTTGACGTATTCTAAAGCAGACGTATACTGAGGTACCACTGTATTTAAGTAGAGAATGCTCCCATGTGTGATGAGTCATGCCTTACCTGACATCCTCATCCAAGGTGCATGTGGCTAAAGCCATAGTAGCTTGTCTATTATTAATTGAAATAAGATGTTGTTGTAGATGCTGTTTTAATGGACATATTGTAGCCCCAATGTCGGCTGTCTCTGTTGTCCTGAAGCGGTATAGTTTCATGAGCTGGATTTTTGGTCGTGGTAGTGTTTTATATGCTAATCAGTATTTAGTGCATTTATAACTTTTAATCTATATCATTGTTGGATTTAAAGGTCATCCATTAATTATGTGTATAGTTTAAGGGGAAGAGGAAGTCATGAAGAGTGAGTGCATCATTGTACAGTACATGATGTAGGAGGGCATCAGGGCATTGTCTATGTGAACTTTGTTTAGTTGTATTATTGACATCAAATAATTTCAGGATTATGTCAGGCTATAGTAATGTTACTATTAATAATTAAATGTAATTTAACAACATGAGGCAGGGCTCAAATCCACAACTCCTGTTGCCATGAGGACACATTTTCAGTTATACTTCAGGCCAATTCTTTTCTTCCAGAATCTTCTAGATTAATTAACTATTAATTTAATTATAATTATTAAATTTAATAAATTAAATATAATTGCAGAAAAGTAGCCCAATATAATCTGGTGGTTGTTTGGCTTTAAAAATTTATAGGGTTTGTGATGTTTGTTTATGCACTTTTTAAACACTTTTTATATGTAAATATATAACTTTTAACTGGTTATAATACAAGTTTCAACTTATAATTTTTTAATAAGATGAAAACATTTTAAATATTTTTGTAATAATGTTTAAATTATAAATATTATTTTATGTAAACAGGTAACAATATGAGCATCTGAAGAAAGGCTCTGGTGATGTATATTAATATAATAGGCTATTTAAATGAGATTACAAGATTTTAATTAGATCAGGAAGAATTTGCAGAGTTTAAGTAATTTTAAAGATTATTTTTTAAACAATATAAATGAAAAGGTATTATTTTATTGCCATTTGTACGTTTTTGATTGTCCCTATTGCTTTTGTGTTAAGTTCAGGTTATAGTGATAATGACATGTTTGAATTTCAAAATAAAACATCCTGAATTTTAAAATGAATACAAATAAAATTATTCATTTTTTGCAATCAAATCAAACTGATTTTATAAATAAGATTTTAATAGATTACATATTTGAATAAATAAAAATATAAAATTTATATGGAAAATAATAATCTTGTTTTGTTATAGTTCCTTTTCAACACGCTTTAGAATATGTACAGCAAAGAGAATTCCCACTTGAGAAAGGAAAGATATTATTTCCAATTGAAAGAATTGATGATTTATTATCATCTTTACATAGATTAACCTTATTTGAAGGATTATACCATATGAGAAATTTATCAATGATAATTAGTGATGTGAGAATAAAAGATATTGAAAAATACTTAACTGTAAGTTCTAATAATTTTAAAAAGTACATTTAGATTTAAAATAAATTGTTATTTTTATAGCTTGTTGCCACCCATTATTATCTTCATTATAATTATTTATTGTCTTGTGTTGTAGCAATTTATTTATGATGAAATTTATGAAGAAAATACTAATCATCTTAAAGCTTGTGAAGTTGAAAATGTTAGTTATTTCTTTCCTCCGTGTATGAGTCATTTATATAACATTTTAAGAACTCGTCATAGATTGCAGCATCATTCTAGAGTAAGTAACATTTATATACCATATTCATTACAACTTTTAATGCTGATAATGCCTTTTACTTTCCTGGTAGTTATGTTTACATAACAAGAGAAAGTATTGGAATCATGTCAAATTTGACCCTCCAAATTCAGAGGGTCAAATTTCATGGGTGTATCTGAGGGTGCGTTTACTTCTGAGTTAGCAGTGCTAATTCTGATAACCGGATGTGACGTCATTAGCACGTGTATTCGTGCTTGCTTGTCCAATTCGAAAGTGAACACATACGCTAACAAGAAATATGGCTGGAAACCGCCATATTTCTTGTTAGCGTATGTGTTCACTTTCGAATTGGACAAGCAAGCACGAATACACGTGCTAATGACGTCACATCCGGTTATCAGAATTAGCACTGCTAACTCAGAAGTAAACGCACCCACAGATACACCCATGAAATTTGACCCTCTGAATTTGGAGGGTCAAATTTGACATGATTCCAATACTTTCTCTTGTTATGTAAACATAACTACCAGGAAAGTAAAAGGCATTATCAGCATTAAAAGTTGTAATAAATATGGTATATAAATGTTACTTACTCTAGAATGATGCTGCAATCTATGACGAGTTCTTAAAATGTTATATAAATGACTCATACACGGAGGAAAGAAATAACTAACATTTTCAACTTCACAAGCTTTAAGATGATTAGTGTTTTCTTCATAAATTTCATCATAAATAAATTGCTACAACACAAGACAATAAATAATTATAATGAAGATAATAATGGGTGGCAACAAGCTATAAAAATAACAATTTATTTTAAATCTAAATGTACTTTTTAAAATTATTAGAACTTACAGTTAAGTATTTTTCAATATCTTTTATTCTCACATCACTAATTATCATTGATAAATTTCTCATATGGTATAATCCTTCAAATAAGGTTAATCTATGTAAAGATGATAATAAATCATCAATTCTTTCAATTGGAAATAATATCTTTCCTTTCTCAAGTGGGAATTCTCTTTGCTGTACATATTCTAAAGCGTGTTGAAAAGGAACTATAACAAAACAAGATTATTATTTTCCATATAAATTTTATATTTTTATTTATTCAAATATGTAATCTATTAAAATCTTATTTATAAAATCAGTTTGATTTGATTGCAAAAAATGAATAATTTTATTTGTATTCATTTTAAAATTCAGGATGTTTTATTTTGAAATTCAAACATGTCATTATCACTATAACCTGAACTTAACACAAAAGCAATAGGGACAATCAAAAACGTACAAATGGCAATAAAATAATACCTTTTCATTTATATTGTTTAAAAAATAATCTTTAAAATTACTTAAACTCTGCAAATTCTTCCTGATCTAATTAAAATCTTGTAATCTCATTTAAATAGCCTATTATATTAATATACATCACCAGAGCCTTTCTTCAGATGCTCATATTGTTACCTGTTTACATAAAATAATATTTATAATTTAAACATTATTACAAAAATATTTAAAATGTTTTCATCTTATTAAAAAATTATAAGTTGAAACTTGTATTATAACCAGTTAAAAGTTATATATTTACATATAAAAAGTGTTTAAAAAGTGCATAAACAAACATCACAAACCCTATAAATTTTTAAAGCCAAACAACCACCAGATTATATTGGGCTACTTTTCTGCAATTATATTTAATTTATTAAATTTAATAATTATAATTAAATTAATAGTTAATTAATCTAGAAGATTCTGGAAGAAAAGAATNTTATTAAATTTAATAAGAGATGGTGCCTAATGCCTCTCTCTATTGACAAATTATTTAGTAATTAATTAAATATAATTATGGAAAAGTGTACCAATGTAATCCAGTGCTTGTTTGGGTTTAAAAGTGCTAAAATCATACAGGAAATCTAATTTATTTATTTTAGTTTTTTTCAGACTGATATTGTCCCATGGTTTTAAATTTCAAGGAGCAAACTGAGATTTATCTTTCTCTATGATGGAAGGCTGGTCCGAAAAAAGAGTGGCTGAAGAGTTTAACACAGGATATATTTTTTTTAAAAAAAGGATATATAATGAATCAGCAGGCTTCAGTATGGCTGACCTCATACTCATAGAAGTGACAAAATTGTGCAGAAGATTATTGTAAATTTCATTCAAGTCCAAAAAGTCTCTGACTTATGAACCTGAACTGGAAATATCTAAAGTACTATTCATAACATTTTGCAGAGACAAAAGTTCACCTTTATACATTCCAGCATCTGAAAGTAAAGCTGTTGAATGTGCTTTTTGAAAATGTAAAGTTTGAAAATAAATTTAATCTATGATTCAAAACTTTTTGAGATGATGTAGCTATGCAAATAAATACTATTTATAATATTAAAAAACTTTTTAATTTTGGCAAAAACAATAACTTTGAAATTTTTCTTGAATATATATTAAAATCAATATATAACAAAACAGTCTTAAATAATATAGAAAAATGCTTGCTTTTTAATTAATTCATGAAGAATTTATTGATTTACTTTTACAAACCTTTTTTGTTTTTTCTTTTACCATCTTTAAACATAAATATGGAAAAGGTTTAAATTACAAAGTTAAGGGATCCCAAAAGAAATTATTTTATAAAACAGGGACTTAGGGACACAAAAAAAAAAATAAAAGCAACAAAACAAGTAAAATGGCAAAGCCATTTTTGGGATGAGACTATGTCTTGGAGAGCACAAGCAACACACATGCAAATCTTGCATATAGAAACAGTCTCAGCATTTCATATTTTCTTTTGACCTGGTTTTCGGTTTCTTTACTACCTACAAGTTTTTTTTTTTTTTTTTTTTTATGTGTGCATGATTTAGGCAACAAATACTCTGTGCCAAATAGCAATTTCTAACATGTGCTCCTTCATACCTCTAAGGTGTGCAGCCGTTGACAGCAGTGCGATTTTAGAGATGAGACATAGTCTCGTCAATTAGGAACTTTATTTGAAAGAAAGGACTTTAGATTTGCTTAAAAATAATCTATTTATGCATTTTAAATCCTCAACAAAATAACCAGTTGATTGAAACCAAACATTTTAAAAAAATCTTTTTTATATATTTAAGCTAGCATTGGTAAATGAAAGTCAAATAATAAGTATAGTAATAAAGCTCTATTCTGAATAAATTTTAAGAGAAAAAGTAATTTAAAATTTTTACAAGATAACTTATTTGCAGACCTGAAGTTAGATTTGTCCTGGATATGGCCTCTTTAAATTTATAAACTTGCAAAAATTATATCTTTAATAACAAAATTATATGAAACAAAATTTTTAGCTTTGGAAAATTAAAATGGTTTAAAATAATATAATGAATACAATGAGCAATTATTTATTGTGACATCGTCACAATGCTGGGCTGCAATTTTTAATCATATTTTTAATTTATTTAATTTAAAATATGTGCTCTCCACCTCAGATTAGTACTGTAATGTCTTGCCCCTGTACATCATACTTTTTCATTAGCAATGGAGTTGTATTGATCATCTATCTAACTCCTTTCAGGGGAAAATTTTTGAATTGAAACAATGTGACTTCCAGTTTGCATCAGAAGTTCATATGTAGGTGGTCAGGGCATTCTTCTCCTATATCTAGTCTTGACTTCATGTATCTGACTCCATCTCAAGATTAAGGAAGAACAGACGGACAACAGTGGAAAGTTTTAGGTCTACATTTTTTTCAAATTGCAGTCCAATTAGATTTTAGAATTATTTTTATATAAAAAACTAATGCAAAAATCAGATAAAAGACTAAAAAATGAAATTCAAAATAGATTTTAATAGATGAAATTAACCAAAAATGAAATTATTTAAAAACATTGACACTAAACTGAAATATATGATAAAAAATAGAACATTTATATATTTATTTCTCTCGGTCAGTCTACTGGTTGAATCCTCTGGAGAGTCCAGAAGTGAGTGCCACCACTTACCATAACAATATTAATACAGTAGAACCTCGAAAACTCGACCTAATGTGGACCGAAGGGTGGCCGAGTTTGTGAAAATGCCGAGTTATCGGGAATGGGGTTAAAAAAAATAAGTACGAGTATTTCCTCAGAAAATACTGTACTGTACTTGTACAGTATTTACTTGTACAGAATATAACAGAGAATAAACTGCCCAAATACCCTTAAACAAAGGAAAAGTACGTCCTTTATGAAGGCATAGAGCCACTACATGAAAATGAAAATTAATGAATACACTGTGTACAGTAATTTACCTGATAAGACAGACCTCAGAAAAATACTTTATGAGAGCTTTTATACTTTTATAAAGCTGTCTATAATGAAAATTAATTAACTAAGGATTTTTTCGCCCTGCCAAGGTGTGGACCAGTTATCCGGAGTGCTAAGTTATCGAGGGACGAGTTTTCGAGGTTCTACTGTATACTGTATATGATTATAGTCCTAAATTCAAATACCTCTGGAAATCAAGATCCTCCAGAAGTCTTCTCCATTAAATAATGTTTCAATTTGATATATGTGCAGCTGATTTTGTTTAACAAATTTCAATTAAATTAAGCAGAAAAATCTTGAAGGGAACTAAAGAAATTCTAGCATGATTTTCCTGGTCAGTTTAGGTATCAGTTTAATATTGAAGCCACCAACTAAATAGTTATTTGTAAAATGTAATTGATCAGATCCCTATTACAATGCACATAGGATGTCACTTGTTTTTTAATTATATAAAATTACTTCTAGATATAGTAATTTAAATGTCAATAAATAATCATTTTTCCTGATATTACAGTATAAATACCAAGTACTTATTCTATTCTGACCATGCATTTGCTTTAATTTCATCTTATATCACCAAATACAGTCTGTTAAACCAAAATGCTTATATTTTCAGTGTGCCAGAACAGAACCACCTCTGGCACACTGAAAAAATAAAAATTTGGTGATATGAATTCTTCAATCATGATCATATCATATGATCATATCATATGATCACTGCACTGTACTTCCAGAGCAAGTAAGGTCAGCCTACTGCACTAGGAGACTTGGAATCAAATCCAGACAATCAATTCCATAAATTTTCTTGGATGGTTTGACATAAATATGTTATGCTCTATCAATCACTACCCAACCATTCTCATTGTGAATCTGGCCAAAACTATGAAGGAAAAAAGGAAAAAAGGTTCCCTTAGTACTCACAGAGCAGAAAGAAAAAAAATTGTAATAAATTATATTTGAGAATTAACTTCTGAAGTTTTTACAAAATAATTTTATCAATGTAGAGCTAATTAATTAATTTTATTTACAGGTCCTGTTAGTGATCCCAAATGGTGGGTGTTAAGAAAGTAAACTGCAAAGTAAGTCAACAACAGTTGTTAGAAAAAAAGTACACTTCTAAGCAAGATAAATATTTCATACTTTCTTCTAACATGTTAGTGATTTTAATTCTTTACAGTTTATTTTCTGTTTAACTGTCAGAATTTGGGGTTACTAATGGGATATGTAAATAAAATAAATTAGTTGTACATTGAGGAAAGTATAACGTAAAAATTAGAAAGTTAGACTCTCAAATATTATTTACTGCATAATTTAAATATCTTTAGTTATTAAAGTATAAAACTGTACAGATTTTTGGACTATTGTATATTTATAAAATAGAAAAGTAATAATGTGCATATATAAAAAAATAATGAAAAGATAAGTGAATTAAATATTGAAAATTATAACATGGTTATTTAATAGAAATTTTAAATGTAAAAATCAATAAAATTTTGACTCCTACCTTTTATAATGGAAGGAACAACTTTCTTTTTCATTAAATTGCAAACAGATTGTAAAGTTTGTAAAACTTCTAAGTGAGAAGTTGACAACTTAGGTGACTTAATTATTTCTTTTACATGAAATTCAGTTTGATTTAAAAATCGAATTGCATCAGATTGACTTTGTCTTTCCAATCGTAATTTAAAGAGTATACACTCAGCATCTAGAAACCAATCTATTTTTGAAGAATGTTCACAGAATACTGATCTACATAATAAACAGAAAAATAAACACATTTAATAAGCATTGATAAATAAGTAAATTTTTAAAAATATATAAATAAAAAAATTTGTTAACATAAAATATTTATATGATACTAAAGACAAAAAATTACTATTAAAACATTATTAAGAATTTTTCAAATATTCAGAACATGAAACATCATTAATTGTATCACTCTTTTGTGCAATTAAACACATTCATCTCAACATAATATTGTACTTATCCAAAATATAATTCTAATATAGTCAAATGCTGATCTGTTGCTACTTTCAAAATATATAAAGGGTGTCAAAAAAATGGATAAAATTAAGGGGTGGAAGAATATAACAAAACATTTCTTGCCATAGAATGTGTGGTTGAATGCAAAGTGTTGAGGCACAAACACAGTAATGACTCATAACACAGAACATGGAAAAGAATCTTCAATCTCTACCATATTCAATGTTCTCACCACCCTTGAATGACTTGCATCATGCCTGTTGCTGAGAAAAGATTCTGCCTCACAGAGTGGCTGGTGCAGGTGCTTAAATGTTTTCTGACTAGGAACTGGAATATTGGGAAAACACTTCTGGTATATTTGTTGCCCTTTCATGGAGATCCATCTCTTCAAGGTTGTGAATGACTATGTGCAAAAACACACTTATACATGCTACTGGAAAGCACCCTCATTTGCAGAAAGTTTTGCCATCTTTTTTAAAACACCCTATATATATTTTAAAAATAGTAATTTAGAGTATTTTATAATGCTAATATATGTTGCTTAAAACTGTAATTAATTTTATATCTTATTAAATTAGTTTTTTCATCATTAAATATTTTTAATGAATAATATATGAAATAATTTGAGGTATTAATTTGATATGTATTGATAATATTGAGAACATATATTGTTTGCTTTTGTTTCCCATCATATGTACCCTATTTATTTGTCTATTTCTTTTTTAATAAATCTTTTATATCTTAATATCTAAAAATATGTTTAAGCTTTGTAACCATATACTTTTTAAATCAGTGCACTTATTGCTATGTTGCAGTAATAGTACAATAAAATAGCAACAAATAATCATAATCTATGTAGTATCTGCTGTATGTAAATATTTTGAGTAGCTAAATAACAAATTAATCTATAAAAAGAAAAATAATAATGCCAACTTCTATGTTAGTAATGACATAACTTTTGCAAGAAAGATTTTGCCAGAACAAAATGCATTCATTTGAATTTGATGTTTAAAATTTGCCTTACAACCCAACCAAAAGTTCATATTTTTCAAGTTTTGTTGAAATTATTAAAGAACAAAAATAGAAAAAGTATAAAATATAAATAAATTTGTTATATAAAAAACATAATCTGTTTATATTTTCTATAGAATATCAAATCTAAAATATAAATAAGACATACTTTTTGTTTCTTATTTGTCCTCAGTTAAATTTGCATAGACTTTTGAGGCCATTCATTAATTATATATACAGTTTAAGGGAGGAGAAGGCCACAAAAAATATGTTATTGTACAGACAAGGAGAGAAATTGAGGCATTGTCTACATTGACTTTTTTTGTAGTATTAGTGGCATACAAATTTGTTCTTAAAAGCTTAGATACTAGTCATGTGAATAAACTACCAATTAGAAAATATTTTCAAAACTTAAATCGTTTCTTCAATATCAGGGAGGATCCATGAACTATTTACATGTAATTGAAGAGAGAATTTGTCAAAAGTACAGCATTGTATAGAATAGGGAGGGAGGAGGTCAAAAAAACGGTACATATAATTAATGAACCTTTTCTTAAAACAAGATATTTATATTCTTAATTAATTTCATAAGAATAATTAAGCAATTTTGCAAGTTTTGTATAATTGGTATTAATCATTGAAAAATTATTATTATTAAAAAATTGATCATGAGAAACATTTGAATGTTCAACTTATATTTAAAAAAATGAATTCTGTTTTCACAATAATTGGCAACTTAATCTAGAAATCAGTTCAACCACATTAATACAACTAATGATAAAGAATCAACTGAGACAAAAATAAATGGAAACAATGTAGATAAAAAAAAAAATAGAAGTTAAAGAAATATTATCGGGAATTTATTTTAAATTCCTAATAGGACATACTTTCAATTGCTACACTTGATAAGAAAAGAAAGATTCAGAAATAGGAGAAAATGCAATGATTGATTTCTTTCATTCAAAATGGCAAAGTAGAAGGAAATCATTCATCTTTTGCCATAGACATTATCTGTGTTTGGTTTTTTCCCAGCTTTTTCAAAAAGAGACGTTAAAATAAATTCAAGATCAGATGATCTTTGAAAAGTTTAAGAAAAATAATGAAGTCAAATTTAAGAAAATCATAAATAACATCAGAGTAGCAGATTAAAAGGAAGGAACAAAACAGAAGTTAAAGATAATTTTCTCTTTGATCTCTTAACGATTAAATTTGATAATGAATGATCAAAGAATCAGAATACCTAAGAATAAAATGCGATATGCGATCCGATACTGTCCCATCAATTAGGCATTCTGACTGACTGACAGTTGAAATGTTTTCAATGAGTCGAATCAAAGACTCTTCGTCATCTTTGTACCTGTGTAAGTCGATTAAAAATTTAAGTCGTTTCTCTGCATATAAACGCAATTTTCTTTGAGAAATCACACCTTTCGGTGGTTTTATATAAAATGCCATAAATGTTATTTATATTCATAACTCATATTTTGTGGTTATCGTTTTCTAAGTGTAATATTATTTAATTTTTCTGAAAGACGTCACCATTTCTCTTCTAAATTAACAATAATCAGTTTATTAATTAATAAAAATATCGAATTCACAGGTGGTTATTTCATGTAAGGCGCCATTTTTGACGTGTTGCCAGCTATTACTAAATTCCCCTCATTTATTATAAATAACATTTTCAAGAAAATTATAAATTTAAAGAAATATAAGTAAAGGTTAAAGTTTTATGAAGAAATTAAATAAAATACAATCAAAATATTTTATTCTATTTTTAAAATGGAAGGCGGGCCGATAGAACAGAAGCAGAGTTGTCAGGTTGAGGGATTAATTCCTTGGCATTTTCCCCTGAAAAAGTGTTTAGGAATTTTCTTTAATAAACCGCAAATAGGGATATTTAGAATATCCGTTTTTAATCCCTGAAGTTCTTAACTCTGTTTAAATTAATAATGCAAATACGGAAACTGTTCCCAAAGTGTGCGTCGCGGCTTCCTCACAAGGACGCCACGAAATGTTATAAAATTTTTATAATGTTAGAATTTAATGTACTTGTTAGAATTTGATATAGGGCGCCTTAAGACAATCTGCATTTAGCAAATCAAAAAAGTTTGGGAACCGCTGAAATATGGTATGAAAACAATGAGACGTGTTATTAAAATTTAAAAAAAAAAAAAATTCTTATAGACGTGCATCTTTATTCTTCCCAATAAGAAAACAACAATCGACAATGGCTGCGTTCAGCAGACTCAACAGTTCCGAAGCTGTTGAGTATTTTTCTGATGAACGCCCTCCACAGTAGCTCTGTTTCGGAACATGTTTGGTGTTTTGACGCCACATTTGGTAGCGTCTTTCATTTACGCTTATTGCTATCTGCAACTGTCCAATTATGGCTGCTTCCTATTCCAATACGTCATTCATCGTTCAGCAGATGTAAATATGTAACAGCTACCGATTGAAACACCTTGGCTCAGTTACAATTGTTGATACAATTATTGGAACGCAGCCAATGTTGCTGCTAGTTCGAACGTTAAAAGAACGGTTTGTTGGATCATTTTTAACTGACATCAACTTGTAAAGTGTCAACCTTTGTTAACAATTGTGATAATATATTTCAATGCTTTTACTACTTTACTAATACATTTATAATTACATGATTTTCTTTATAAGGGTTTGATAATATTTCGCACGTTCATTTTCCTTAATGCAGCGGTTTCCAAAGTGTGCGCCGCGGCTTTCCATAGGGACTCCACGAAATGTTATAAAATTTTTATAATTTTACTTCCACTTTCAATTCAATGTGATAAAACGCGACATCTAGCAGATCTGGTGCAAATCATTAACCCAGTAATAAAGGTTGCACATAGAATCGCAAAATGTAAGAAGCCTCATACCATCGCAGAACTCATTCTACCGGCTGCTATAGATATGGTGAACATTATGATTGGTGAGTCTGCTGGGATGCAGCTTTTGTCCAATAACACCATCAGTCGCAGAATACAGTACATAGCGAAGGACCTTTACTGTCCAGTTAATTGAAAGAATATAAGGAAAGGAATTTGGGTTGCAGCTGGATGAAGCTAAGATAATAATAATGATGTTCACTTGATTTGCTATGTACAGTTTATAGATAGTAAACATTGTAGAAGACTTTCTCTTTTGTAAAAGTATCACCTCTAGTGCTAAGGCTCACGACTTGTTCGAGATCCTTATTCTGATATTTTTATATCTGAAAATAATTTAGAGTGGACCAAATACATTTGTATCTGTACTAATGGTGCTCGTTCTATGTCCGGGTGTTATGGAGGATTGCACGCACTTTTTCGAAGCAAAGTCCCTGGTGCACTATGGATTCATTGCATTATTCACAGAGAAGCACTCGCATCAAAATATCTGAGTCCTACATTGAACCAGTCCTTAGAATATGGCGGCCGGATGGCCGAGCGGTCAAGGTGGCAGCCTACCGTTCTGGGAGACCCGGGTTCGAATCCGAACGGGTCAAAAAATTCCCAGGAATTTTTCGGGGGTGGTCCGTTCGGATATGCCGAGCCCCGTCCCTCATCACCCGGCAGCCCCATTGTGGGCCTGGCCGAACCCATAATGGGCTTGCAAAAAGAGGCCCTCTTAGTGCCCACAGGGCGGAAAGAGTTTTAAAAAACGTCCTTAGAATATATAGTAATTATAGTAAATCTCGGCCGTTGAAGGCAAGATTTTTCAAAAAAACTACGTGATGATACGGGATCCGAGCATATGTCTTTGTTACACTACAGCACTTCAAAAAGTACAAAACATTACCACGAGAGAGCGATCTCAAGGTAATGTTTTGTCTCATACATTTGAACAACGACCAGAAATTTATATTTTTCTTAAAGAAGACCACAATTTTCCCGAAAATTTTGTGAATGAAAATTTTATGGTAAAACTAGGGCTGTGGAGTCGGAGTCGTGGAGTTTTGGTGTTTTAGCCGGAGTCGGAGTCGGAGTCGTCAAAAAATCCGCCGACTCCGACTTCCTTTAATTTACCAACTTGTTATGTATATGGAACAGAGTCGGAGTCGGATGGTAAGGAAAAGTCGGAGTCGGAGTTGGAGTCGGTAGATTTTTACGCGACTCCACAGCCCTGGATAAAACTAACATCCTTATGTGATATTTTTGAAAATATTCTCTGAATCTCTCCCTGCAGGGAAGCAACATAAACCTTTTAAAGTAGATTGAGAAAATTTCGGCTTTTATAAAAAATAATCAAACTATAGGAAAGAAAAATAAACGAAGATAGAGAAGAATGTTTCCCTTTGTTGAAACGGTGTTTTTGATCTCCAATGGAGTTGATTTCTCTCGAGGCATAAAATCTATTTTTGAAGAACATTTATCACAGCATATCACCTGGTTTGAAAAATATTTTCAAAATGATAATAACGATAAATTTGCATGGATTCAAGATTCATTTAATGCCAATTCTCTATCTGAATTTACTGTTGCAGAAAAAGAGAATCTTATTGAGTTGTCTTCCCGACAATACATTGAAAACAAAATTTAGTAGCATGGAATTAATTGAATTTTTGATATCAGTGAAGGATGAATATTCCTTCTGAGTGGTAAAACTCAGAGAATATTAATTCCATTTGCGACTTCTTATTTGTGCGAAGCTGAATTTGATAGCTGTGATAAAAACTAAACATTGCACAAAAACTAAACTGCACAAAAATCAATGTGGAGAAGGAAATGAGGGGTGGATGTGTCCAGTTTGATTCCAAGATTTGAAAAATGTGCAGTGATCAGTAGGATCATCCCTCTCACTAATTCTGATTAATTGAATTTGTTCAATTACACTTTTTTGTTATCTTAAATACGTGTTTTATTTATTTTTTACTTAACGTCCTAACTCTTTAACTTAAAAAATATTGGCTATTTCGCAAATTGTACTTGTTAGAATTTGACATAGGGCGCCTTGAGAAAATCTGGATTTAGCAAGGGCGCCGCAAATCAAAAAAGTTTGGGAACTACTGCCTTAATGGCTTCTAAATTTCTAATGAGAAGAATTTTTTTAAGTGTGTAAAATATTCTTTTACATATGTGAAAGAAATTTTTGTTTCCTACAAACTATAAACTTTATTGAAATTTATTTTCACTGGGAAATACACCTATAAAATAAACTAATAGAGAATAATGTGACTGCTTGAAATTCTATAGCAGTAAATAAATGATTTCCTTTTATTTATATATTTAAAGCCAGCCTCATGAAAATGAACTGAATAAATGTAGCTTCTAGCTGTATGCATCTTTGCATCTCTTCTCATTGCAATTACCCACGTATTTATCTACTCTCCATTGTTGAATGGAAATTTATAAAACAAAGTAAATCAAATTTTTAATGACTTAAAATTGCTTCAAATAATTATTAGTGTTTAAATCATTTGAAAATCATTTGAAATCATTATTGTGCAATAAGTTTTAAGTAACTAAGCATTAAAATTAACTATGGAAAGTAATTCCAAACCCTTTTTTTTTTCAAATGGTTGGTTCAGTTAATAGCATAAAAACTTGACGGCTTAACTTCCTGTATAAGTACAACATCATAAATGTCAGTAAGAATTATTAAAAATATTATGTTAAAAATTATAATTTATATCAGTTACAATGCATGAAGCATCTGTTTAGGGCAGGGGTGGCCAACCTTTTGCATACCATGCGCCAATTTTTTGATAGACGAGTTCAGATGCGCAGTGGCGTACCGTGGGTGTTAGCCGCCCGGGGCGGAGAAAAATTTCGGCCACCCTTTAATCAGGTATTTCAATTTAAAAGATCAAAATTCAGTTGTGTGAAAAAAAAATTAATAAAAAATGCGGTGGTGGTGTAGTTACCCGTACAAAATAGTCCCATTTGACATTAGTGGCATACACGATTGCGAATGTATCGTGAATCGTAGAAGCAAAAAAAAAAAAGGTCAACAGGTGTAGCAGTCCAACCGACTCGTGGACTGTCCGGACGGTAGCACTGTCATTTAGACGCCTATGCACTGATCGAAAATAAACATACATGCATACACTGTAATTTACTATGTGGAGAACACTCATTTTATCTGTAAAGTTGATTGCAACGAATTGTGCAACAAATGAACTTGCCAAGACAGACTATAAAAAATTAATTTTCTATGTAATATTCTTAATTGCAAAGAAGCCAAATCTGGCAATGTTGCTCAGAACTGACTAAAGCGCCACTTGTAATCGTCCAATGCGCCAAGTTTGGCGCATGCGCCACGGTTTGGCCACCCCTGGTTTAGGGTTTAGTGAAATCATCTATAAAATATGAGAGTAATTTCTAAGATAAATGCTGACAAAAACACAGAACTTTTTGCATTTTTTTTCTTGTAGAAATGAAAAAAGTTGTTTCTTTATTTAAAAACTATAGTCTTAGTAAAAATAACATTAATTTATATGGTTAGCACTACGGTACTACAGGTCTCTAAGTTTCTTTGGGCTAGATGAAAAATTCCCAGCCCTCCCCTCTTGACCAGCCCTGAATGTAAATTCATATAGAAAATTTATGAATGTTACGTTATTTTATTTTATGATGTTACTAAAAGATGTTTATCATTCTGATTAATGATGTCTTATTTTCTAGCAGAC